TGCTGCAAAAATAATGAATAAGACCTTATTGAGAGAAAGCTGTTTGCTATTTATAGGCTAAATGCACAGCAGGGGATCTAGAACAGTGACAAAAAATCTGCAAGGAACAGGACTGGAATCTTTTGACCAGCCACAATGATGCTTCTTCAACAACAGTTTTTCTTTTTATTGTTTAAAAAACAAACAAACAAAACTGCCCCAAAACAACCCCACAAAAACAAAAAACACATGAAGATACACAAAAGAGAGGAGAACCACAGTCAAGTCAAAGCCATCCTTCCGGGACTTAACTGATTTTCAATACAGGAAGTTAATTTCCTTTCAGAACAGTTTCTGTCACATCTTCTCAGCCACCACCTCCTTGAGCTTCAGAGAGCAACAGGAGGTCCCTCTGACTCCCCGAGCTACTGAATGCTTCTACCTTTTCCTAACTCAGCTTAATTTTCTCTCTTAAAGAGCATCAGAGCTACTTTCTTCATAGCAACTGACTGTTACTGCTGCCAGGGGCAAGTTAGGACAGCTCGAAAAAGAAAATGTCAGACAATATCGCCGTCAAAAGAAGAGGAAGTGGCTGAAAGATACAGCCAGCGTAAAAGCAGCCCCTGTGAAACGCCTTCTGTGTGGGGGTACATCTGCAATCCAAACAAAGGGAGCTTCATGCAGCTGGGATTCTGCAGCAATAGCCTTCCAACAGCTGAGCAGTGTGACTGTCATTGCATGGATTTTTAACACTCGCATAGCTTCAGAATTAAAAAAACACAGGTAGAGTTCCATAACAATGGAGGGCCTTTACTATCTTCCAAAATCTGTTATTACTATAACGATAGTTTTCCAGTATCAGGAAGATTCTTACATTTTCCAGCTGGTCCAGAGGAAACAAAAACTCATGGGCTGCCAAACCTTAATGAAATTGAGTTTGGCCACACTCATGTAACACTGAGCTTCATGCAGAGAAAATTTTGGGTTAAACAAACAGAAATGTGTTGTGTTAGTATTAAAGTATCAATGCAATATAGTAACTAAATCTATTCAAAAGAAAACAACCAACAATTCAAATGTTAATTTTGAGGAATTACGTTGATTTCAGGGAAAGCAATAATAGTTTGCATGGTATTTTAAAGAAAACAAATGGAAAAAGTTAGTAATCACAAGAACACATTATGTGATCACATTAATCTGTTCTGCTTCTCACATGTCATTTCCCAGCAGAGTAGACTCTGACGGTATCAAACATTATAGGACAAACAGAGAGAATAGAAGTTCATATGCAGGACTTAAAAAGAGTTTGATCTTTTTAGTCCTCACTTCTTGGAAAGAACAAAAAGTTGGACATTCAGTTCATTAAAACTTAATTATTAAATTTTTCTAATTGTCAGTAGTTTGCCATCATTTAAACAATTAAAGTCAGCACAATTATGCAAAGCAGACAGATGTACTTGTGTGCCAGGATGCAGAGCTGGACATAGGCCATAAAAATACAATTGTGATGAGTATTACAACTCTTCCCAGAGTAATACAAAAAAGAAAATGCTTCTCAAATTATAATTCTCAAGTGACTAAAATACAAACTTCTGTTCCATCCTTCTGGGTGCTATAAACAACGATTTTCATGCCTCTTCTTTATTTACTGGTCACCTCCCTACCTAACAAACTTAGGAATGTTAATTGCTTATCGAGCTACAATCTAACAGGGAGAGATGATTTGAACATTTAGACTTCCACAGACCACAGTGGTATGACAATCTGTTGGTAAGACATTCACATCCTCAGGGGACAAGTTATTAGTGTTCAGTGAAACACTATCCCAAAATAAAAAACAAAAGGCAATCTAAATGTCCAGCCCCAAACTGGAGTCACTGAAGCAATCTCTTTGATGTTTGGAGCCTGTAGCCAAATCATCACCTTCAGATCCCTTGCCCAGGTGAAAGACTACAACAGGAGAGGTCAGAAACCTTAAGGTTTGGTAGGAAAATATCTCAAGAATTCAAAGAGTAACTAAGAATGCTCCTAAGACTGAAACCTTACTCCACAAAAGTCTGCAAAAAGGCTTCATCAGTTATACCTTCAGTATGTGCAATATGGGTTGCTTACGTCTGTAGCAAAGTAATATAAACACATTGTGATAGTAACATGTGATCCAAAGTACACACTCAAAAACAACGTGAATTCCCTGGAGCAGGATGCAAAAGACATTCCAATCAAATTAAAAAAACTATATGTAGGTAAGATGGTAACACTTTAAGAATAGAGAATAATGAGAAAGAATCAGGTAAGAGCTACAGAGTAATAGAAAGATTAATACTGACTTCAGTAATTTTGAGGTTCAGTTTGAAGAAAGAATAAAAACAAAGCAGTCTTTGCAGGATAGCTTGCATGCACAGCAGGAAAACTGTAAAGTGGTTCCTAGTAACATTCCAGCAAAGCTATGTTAGAGGACATTACAAGTTGTAAAGACAAGCTCTCACAAGGTGAGAAATGCTAGGAAGAAAGTAGCCTAAATTTAATTCAATCCCTGGTGCACATATGTTGCAATGGGTCAATTAAAGTCACAGACAATTTTTACATGCAAATTTACTGTACAGAGGAGATGGTTGTTCAGAAATGCTATGTATTCAACAAACTACTTTCCTCATTGTTCAAGAAGAGATCTTGCAACACAGCAAGTGTTCTTCAAACCTTGCTGTGGTAACACATGTTCTTTATTTGCTCTGTAATGCTGATCTATTATGACAAAATGTAACATTACACATCTGTCTCAAAGGAGAGATTTGATTTCCAGCTGAAACACAACAGATGAATTTTTCCCTATCTTTATGAAATGGAGAGGATAAATACACTTAACCTTTGTTCCCTGTCTTCCAATTAAGAGAGTTAAAAGACAAATCCTAGCTTGTGCATTTTGAGACACCTAGACCTGATTTCTCAGAGAAGAAGCTAGTTAGCACTTCTGATACAGCTGAGTGCTCACACTTCACCAACCACAAAGATTTCAAATCCAGCATTCAGAAATGAAGAAGACTAAATTAGTGACTACTTTTTAGAGCCTAGTTTAAGAGGTTTGCCTAAAACCACTGCTTGCAAACAGGTAATACATAGATTCATACTCGAGTATAACACAGCCTTTGAAACTGAACAGCCTGAACACCAGACACCACCTTCATCCTGCAATTAATGCCCCTCTTCATTCACTTGCAAATGTGTCAACAACTCATACCTACCTGTGCATCCCTCACCATACCACCCTGGTTCACTCCCAGCGCAGCCTCTCCCTGTGCCTTTCAGGAGGCTGTGCCTCTACAGCAGGGCACAACGTGTTACTGAAGTCCATAGCACAGCGCATGAGCGCAGCAAGGTTAGACTGACACTGCCTATACAATCCACAGCTTTCAAAGCTTTTGATTTGCAACTTTCTAATGCATTGTTTTGCTGTAAGCAAATCTTGATTTTCATTAAATAAGTGCTATATGAGATGTATCAATGCCTTCCAGTCTTCCTGACCAATCTGCAGACACTGCAGCACCCCACAAGCTTGGCTCCATGCAACTGCTCAACTCTGGACTATTTGTACAGCCCTAATTCTTAGTGCTTCACTTCCCTTCTTTGTTCTCCATTTCTCCTTACACTTAACCCTAGGCTATGTGCCCAAATAGCATGACTAACCTTTCTTCCCCCACTGCCATCCCCCGATCAGGATCTTATTTCATTCCCATCTGAACTAGAATCTCGCTCCTTTCCATAAGCTCTTTGCCTGAGAGAGGTCTATTTTCTTCAGTCACAGTTTTGGTAAATGGACTCTGTTCACCCAAACTAGAAAGAAAATTCACCCTCAGAAGTAGCTGACTGCAACTTTACAAAGTTTATAACATTGTTAGTTGTTGAAAGGGGTCACTGTATGTTTTCAATGGTCACCAGAACTTATTTTTCTTCTTGATAGGGAAAACCAGCACCTTTTCAGATTTTAAAACCCTTCACCTTTTCAGAAGTGATCTTTTCCGGACAAATTGTTACTATAAAGTATTTCCATAACATAGATATATAAATACAAATAATGTGATATTAATTACTTATATGTATAGATAATTATATTAAGAGAGTACAAGTAATATATATGATAAAAATATTAAAACTTGCCTAAATTATAACAAATTAAATTATGCCTGGCAATTTCAACTGAAAGTCTGGAAGAGAACTCCTACAATTTTAAGTGACACTTCCTTAAACCCAAATTTTTTATTAAAGGTTGATGGGGGGGGTGTGGAAATAGCCAGCTTTGCACAGGTAAGGCACACAATTAGGCAGACTGAAGATTAAAGTAGTTCTATGGGACTGCTACAAGTTTTAATCTTTCTAAGTAAGCTTGAAGCTCCATATCAAGAATTCTGCCTCAAGCTACCTAACAGGTAGGTTTGTCCAAGATCAAAGAATCAATTCAGTACTTCAGTCACGAAGTTCCGCTTCAAGTTTTTAGTTTAGTTGTATACTGTTTCACAGGACTTGCAGTTTGTCTTAGTACAAGTAAACAGGGAAAAAAAAGATGAGATTTTAACATTTGCAGCTGATTCTAATTATATTCTGTGCATTTAAGCCAACAGGCAAAGATACTTAAAATGATACAACCAACTCTGGATGCCATCTTCTATGTTCAAATTTAATTGTCTTCGTGAAGGCCATTTCAGAACCAAAAGCAATGATGCTAACACCTAACTATAACATATACACTATAAATTCTTTAAACTAGAGTTAAACTATTGAAAGCTGATCAAGCTACAAATAAAAATAGCTATAACTGAGAAAGCTTTCTACAAAGAAATATTTTAAAGCAGAACTACACAGTATTATAAACACTCATAAGTCTGGAACCCAAAATTTCAGTACAAACATCTTTAATTTCTAGTACATTAAATATCTCAATAAAAGCTACACAGACTAAGATGTACATAAATACTCCTTTGGATGTGCATAGAGTTATTTTTTTTTCCATTAACAGGAACAGAACATACCAGATAAAATAAGCAGTTCAATAATTTCTGCATCTCCCAGATAGGCAGCAGCATGTAAAGGGGTCCTTTTCTCATTATCCTGTGGTAAGAGGGGGGAAAAAAGGTTTTATTTAAAATAAAAAAATATGTTTCAGCATTTTGTATGTTATGAAAAAACACTGCATAAAAGTGCATCTTCCAAATATTGTACATTTCAAATTTTAAAAAACATAATTACTCTAAAGAGACTAGTCACATTTACTAAGACAAGCATGCTTCTCCCAGGGGAGCTCTTAAAACCTTCATAGTCAAATGCTGTTTTTCAGATACACACAGATTGGCAGATGCTCATCACATCTTCAGATTAACCCATCAGTTATAAATCACCATTCACTTGTCTCCAGAGACAGGAACTTGAGTCTCTCCTACACTGGTAAAATGGTGTGTCATGTCATATGCAACAATTAGTGAGAAACATTTTCTTTGCAAAGTTTAAAGACAGTTTCGAAAGTTATTATTTTAACAGAAAATAGAAAAAAGGCTGGAGTGCATAGGGGCAAAAATATTGAAACCAGATTTCAACTGTTTTGTTTACTGCAAACAAGCAAAGAGAAGGTAGAGATGCAATTTATTTTGCAAAAAACACCCTGGAGGATGCAAGTAACACCCAGTACTCTTAATTAGTTCAGGCTGATCTAACATCCTTTGGAAGGTACAAGGATCTTACTTAGACATACACAATAAATACTGATGAAGATTCTCTTTTGAAAGATTAGTACAAAATATTCCTCAACTCTTTCAGGATCAGTGCCATTTCCCCTGCATCAGTTCATAGCTTAATCAGAAAAATAAGATCACATCACAGTGAGTGATAAAAATGAACAAGAACCAACCAGTTTGCTCTCTGAGGGAAGGCTGCTGAGAAATCAGAAAAGAGACAGATAATCAGTCAGCATTTGGGTTCTAGCCTAAGCTCTACTTAGATGTCTAGATCTTTTCTGTAGAGTTTCAAGGGGCAAGGGATCAAGATTATATGCAGCAAGAAACTTTAAGTCACACGACATTGATATTAATTCAACTACTGTGTCTGGACTATCACAAAATTAATACACATTTTTTACTGGCATTTTATTTTGAAAAGCATTCCTCTCCCTTACTAAAATAACTTGACAGCTAGCATCACACAAGAATAAAATTAAAGTACATGGCAGGAGAGACCCAAGAAGTTCTTCTAAAACATAAAAGACAACTTCAAAACTTAGAACATTCAACCCACCCCCCTCCAAGAAAACATCATCACACACACAACCCCTTGCCCCAAAACAACCTAGTCCTCCTGTTAGTCCCTGCTCAGAAAAAGTCAAAGCTACACAGTTCACCATCTTATCCATGTTTCCTAACAGAATTTTTTGAGTTACACACAAGTCATTCCAAACTGAGCAGTGCAAACCTGACACTGATGCACCCTAAGGAATCAATACAACCTGCTTACCACTAGCACCACATAATGCCTCACCAATTTCTTGCCAGTATGTCTCAACTGCAGATTACACATGTAGGATAAGAAGAGACAGCCTCCTGGCACCTAGGACTTGCTATCTATGTAAAAAAGAAAAAAAAAAGAAAAAAAAAGGAAAAGAAAAAAAAAGGAGAAGAAAAAAAAAGGAAAAGAAAAAAAGGAAAAGAAAAAAAAAGGAAAAGAAAAAAAAAGAAAAGAAAAAAAGGAAAAGAAAAAAAGGAAAAGAAAAAAGGAAAAGAAAAAAAGGAAAAGAAAAAGAAAGGAAAAGAAAAAAAGGAAAAGAAAAAAAAAGGAAAAGAAAAAAAAAAACCTGGGAGTACAAGGGAAAAAGAAAACCAATACATATATTAAACTTGCTTTCTCAGCTCCAAGACCAGCCAGTAATGAAAATCAGTTTTCATTCCTCCAGTATGCAGAAGCAGAGGTACTATAGGTAGCTAATATTGAAGCCTTTTAGATAACGTTAAACATCCTATAAACTACAGATTAAGGAACACAGAAAAATGAGTATGACAGTATACTGTCTGCAATTTCATCACAGCATTAGAGAAAGATGATCCACGAGTACATTCTTCTGTAGACACAGCATTTACACAAGAACATGAACAAAAACTACACTCTCCCTCTAAAGGGCAAAACATTATGATTAAAATTTTCATCACACTTGTGTTGTTGGTTTCTTTGTTTTGGGTTTTTTCAGTTTTCAACATCTCAGTGACAGAAGTAATACAAGTAACTAATGAGATATAATGAATTGGAAATCTTCCAATAAAACACTGGACAGAAGGGAGTTGTTTGTCTAGAAATACACTAATCACTAAGCCCGAAATACATTTTACTCAAACATTCAGGGTCCAAATTTCAGATAAATTTCAGACATGCTTCTCCAAAAAATTCAACCTCTATTAACAAAAACCATTGAGCATCCTGAAACCACCAAGATGCAAACAAGAAAGCAGTTTAAACATAAGCAACATTTCCACTCCAACACTTCTGTTTCCAAGCTGTGAGTTTCTAGTCATGCAAATATTTCAGTTCTGCTGCTCTTAAGCTGACAACTTGAAAAGGCTCAAAGCCCAACTCCCAGTTCTGCAGCAGGGAGTACAAACTGGAAGCTTACATATGCAGGAAGTTGGTGGAGATGCCCCTACTCTCTGCAGTGCTGGGATGCTCAGGGCTTGTCATCTTCTGGGTCACCTCCAGAGTTTGGTATTTCAACAATCTCAAGCCCCAGGGTATCTAACGACCACAAATATTCCACATGCTGAGGGTGCTTTGACAGAAGCCCTGACCTTTCTTTTCCCTCTAGTTTCACAGCTCACATTTTTTTGATGCTTCTAAACATTTTTTTTTAATTTAACTTCTCTGTGTGAAAGTTTTAGGTTTAGTATTTAAAAACCTGGTTTTCAGAACTTGTTACAAAACCAGAAATGTTGAATTCAGCAACCTCTCATTCTCATTTTGTTCCATCTGAAGTCTTACACTTTGTTAGTGAATTTTAATAAATGAAATCTGACAAAACTGAAAGAGAATTCTGTATTTTAAATGCTACTAAAGTACTATATAGACAAACTACTTTTTATTAAGAAACAGTAAACATTTGATGACCAAATTTCATCGACAAATACAAACTAATGCATATGAAGGATTACACTAAATAACACTGAGAAAGCTTTCAGCTTCAACAACAAACCTTAGAAGCAGACATCTTGCAGCACTGACACATCATACTAATATAAAGCACTGAGATATCATACTAATATAAATTCTGACCCTAGTATTCTTCCCTTAGTTTCATAAATTTAAACGGCATTAAAAGAAAAATTTCAATAGAGAAGGGGTTTTGTACATAAAAGTCACTGTTACACAACATGTAAAATCTAACACTCTTGGTACTATTTACTCCCAAATATCACAGTGTTGTGGCAGTATTTGACAACTCAGAAAAGCAAGTGTTGGGCCATCTTCATTTTCCAATTCAAAAATCTGCAAGGCAAATAGGACTATTACAACCCTAAATGAGCTGTAATGGTAAGTAAGGAAACAGATCAAGTTGCATTAGGCAGGTTTTACATAGCTGAAAGAGAACTTTCAGCGTTTTCAAATTTGTTGTTTCCAGTAGAAACAACAAAGAACTTCATATTTCCAATAAGAAACTCCCAAGTTTAATTCCAGATATTGGTCAATGCTGTCAACAAACCAAAAAGCAATAAGAGGGCTCAGTCCTTAAGGAATCAGTTTTCAGAATGATAGTTCTGTGTCACAAAAAGCCCAATATCAGATTTATATTTGCCTTTGGATTGCATTACATGAAAAATACATAATCCTTCCATTTGCAGTACGCTCATTTATTAAGTTTTCCAAACATTTCCTCTACACAGGAGTTTGTATAAGGATTACAACATGAGAAATTCATAGAAGAAGGCCTTATGACCCCATTAAACCCAAATCTGGAATAAGGTGACATGGATAGTGGTACTTAATAAACTCTCCTAACCTAGAACCACAGTAAGGCCACCTTTGTTTCATTTTACCTAAACTGGAAGCTTTAATTGATTCACTGGTTATTTCATGGATCAAAACTTGTACAGTGGACAAATCTGTGCTAATTTAAAGACACAGGTTTCAAATCTACCTCTTTTCAAAGAAGTAAGTGTCCTCTGAGACACAACAATTTATTCCTGATTTGTTTTGGCTTTTTTGTTTGTTTGTTTGTTTGTTTATTCCTGGTTTGCTATCTCAGCAATTGACTTAGAGTAACTACTTAAAAGTACAGAGAGATTTTTAAGCAGCTAGATGCTTTGAAAGTTGATTTCTTATCCCACGCATATCCAGCAAGATTGCAGTAACCAGTCCACGGCTTCCCCAAGAGCAAAATTCATTTTCCCCTTCAAATAGTTCAACATCTATCGATCCAAAATCTTTCAATTAAAATACTTTTTGGAAAACCCCTTCATAAAAACTCCTCTTTAGCCTACCTGCTCTTCAAAACTAAATTCTGCAATAACACTTCAAAATACTCTCATTAGTTCATGACTGCACTTACAAAATATCATTTAGTAGGTGTTTTGTGCTGTTGACTTGTCAGCTGTCTGCTTCCAGTGCCATCTGTTCCTGGCAGAAATCAACCCTAAATACACAATCATAAATCTTGAACGAGTTTCAATTCCAACATACCCTGTAGTAGCTTAAATAAACACTCCTTTTAAGTGAAACGATTTTTAAATATAACACTTAGTGCATTTTTCAGTTAAGTTAAAAAACATGACTTTTCAAGCAGCAGGATAGGTAACTCCTGGGTTCACAGATAATGTTTAAGAATATGATTACAAAGTATTTCTAATTCTCTCATAGGGTCCAGTACCACAGAGGTCTCTCCCTGTGTGAAGCCCCAGTGCTACACTTGGGAGCACCAGAACACCGAACCACAGTTGCAGATTTTGCTACAGTTTTTGGAATTATCATCTGGTAGAATAACTGTATACTCTAACTGAATTTCTTTGTTCCTCCACACAAAAAAGAACACATTTAAATATTTGGCTTTTACATTTCAACTTTAAACTTCTCAAAAGTTTACTTTA